AATGTTAGTTTATCTAGTAATCCTGTGGTTTCCTTCCGTTTCTTCTTCATGGTGCAGTAAGAATATGGGAAAGGAAAAAAAGGGGGCATTTGGATGCCAACAAACAATGAACAAATACTACTTTAGGTGGGCACAAAGAACATGCTAATAAAGAATAACGTTTTGTCTTTAGGACTTCTAGCTCCAACTGAAAAGATTTTGTTTATTTTTTTAGCCTCTTAACAGGGAAAGCATTGTCAGCATCTAACTCTAGAACAAAGTTCAAAATATCACAAATGTTGTCTCTTATTGTTTCAAGATATCACAAGTTAGCATAAGTTGACATGCAGCACAAAATAAAAATAAAGAAAATGGCAGAAGCTGGCACTTTATCATAATAAAAAACCTCAACACAATTAATGATTCTGTTTTGGTAAAGTTTCAACAGTTCCACCATATTCATTAAGAACAACAGCCATGTGAACCTTCCTGATCTGGAACTCTCTAAGAAGATTCCAGACTGACATTGAATCTACAAAACCAACTTTCTAAATTTCACTGTATATATAGTTGAAGCATTCTACTTTTTCCATTTTCTTTTCCCTTAGACAATAACTACTAAAACAACAAATAAGTCTAATGAAACAGGGTCTTATGCACTTTGATTAATTACAAAAATCAGAAAAGAAATGACATCTTCACATAAAATGTGGATAATATGGTGAGAAAATGGGGTAATAGCAATTAAAAAAAAAACCTATGCAACTACCTCAATCAACTAGTGGATAGTGTCATGAAAAGCTAGAAAGTGTTAATATCAACCCAAAGAACATTATTAAAATATCAACTAGAGAAAAAAGTCAAGGGTTACCAGGCACAAAGTAGGCCGGTGTAGTTATTGATCAATCTTCAAACAAAGAAAGCAAACCTTACATGGCCACGGTGTAGTTATTGAAGTCTCTGCCATTGAGAAGAATGCAGATAAACCTAAAAGTGCAGTCAGAATCACACCTTGCTCTTTGAAAATCTTAAGAACCATAGAAACCTTAGACCACGCATTCCTCAACAGCAATGCCCACCGCTCAATCACTCCGTACCCTACATTCACCACTCTCTCCACCGCGAGCACTCTCTTGCACGCGAAAACCAAAAGACAATAAAGCATTGCCCCAATAAAGACTCCCCGCTTCAGCAAAATCTTCAGAGACTCCAAATCCAGGCCTAAATCCTCACCTTGGTCACCACCCAGATGATTGCTTTCTACGCTTAACGATCTCAAATGAACTGTAAATTCCACCAAAATGGACGGATTGAAACAGCTGGAGACTACACGACATGGGAAGTGATTACTTTTGGAT